AATTGTTGTATCCACAACACAAACAGCATTTATCTCTAAATCGAGACTCAGAATTTTGGCTGCTCTTCACATTGGTGTAGTTCTTTGTTAGTAATTGTCTTTTACGGTGCTGTGCTCCTTGGAGAACTGCGTATGTGTGGAGTATAATATATGGCCTAGACTCTAGCATAATCATTTTGAGTAAACATGCGGTTTTCTTCCAAACAAATATTGAAGTATTTTGTAACGATGTTTTTGACTACACGTATTGTCAGGAACTATCATCCTTTATAAACTAGCACGATATTTGCACTGCTATACTCACGGTGTTGCCCATTTTCAATTAGCATATTAATTAAGCAGAAGGTGCTTAACATACATTGGCTCTTACTTTAACTGTGGATCCTATCTTATCATCTCCTGTCACAGCATAAATTATTGAACTATTTCTAGAAACAATTGAAATCACAGAAAACACAGCTTTTACTTATACAACGCCAGATGAATATTCCTTTACAAAGAATAATGCAACTGATTCCATTGCAGCTACAACAGCAACCACGTTCCTTAGAACGAGTATGAATGATTCAGTTTCAACTTAATAGGGGAAAACTTGAAACTTGCATTTATGCAGAACATGCTCTGGTGGGATGCATGGGCTCGTATTTTTTCTCATAATGATGAGTATAGGTTACTACGTAAGTTCTAAGAATGGCAAGGTCAGACAATTTGCTTCGAAAGGCTTACCATGGTAACTTTATTGAGTGACTCAATTTCCATAGATATAACTGCCCCGGTGCCTAGTTTACAAAACTGGCAACCGCAACTCGCTAGCTCTGTTGGTTCAAAAGTTATTAAAAAAATATCCGACTGCATTCTATTCAGAAACAGATAGTAGTTTGAGTTTGAGATATCTAAGTGAATACAAACGAAGGCATACATTCATTGCATATGAACTGACCTACCTTCCGTCAGGGACACGGGTCATGTGACGAAATTGCATAAAGGATAGTAATATTAATCTTCTCATATTTCAGCATGTGTGCCTGTAGCAGCAACAATTGGCATTGCAGTCGGATCTGTAGCGCTTATCTTTCTAGTTGAAGCTCTAGTTTATGCCATTTTATACTTCAGAAGCAAATGGGCAACAGTAAGTCTTAAAATAGTCTGGCTTCTCTGGAAAAGCTTGCAACATTTTCGGTACACTTGTTCTTTAACACTAGTCAATAGCTATCGGCTCATTCCTACTTGCGATTAAACTGAATGTAGTGAGCTCGTATTCTTACTTTGAGAGTTTCATAACTTGGGATATTCACCTAAAAGAAATTCAGACATGAAAACGCAGCTTTTTCCGTTAAACATGGATAATATCATGCTCATCTTTAATAATCGTCAGCTCACACAGAGAGGAAAGTTCACATAGCAAAAAATTCCATGGTATACCTTAGACATCATGTCGACATATGGATGGCTCAAATCAAAATTCTTTTTCTGATTATTGTGACAAATTAAAATCAGGAATTGATAGACTTTATCAGCAGATGCTACAGAATTCGCAATCGTTCCGCTCACTGCATACATGGTGCTTCACTTGACTCTCCTGCTACTATGAAGGTCGCACGATCTCTCTTCCCCATGGTTAGGTCATTATACTGAGACGGAGTTGTATGGTTGTATGTTTACTAATCAGATGTGTAGCTCATCAAGAACTACACATTTTCTGCAATCCCTACTCTTTACTTTACTAAAAACGCCAGTTTTTATCCGCCATATAACCGGCTACGCGTTGACTGTGATTCAACTGTATCACACAAGTCTGTTAGTTCAATTACGTCTTCTTCTAGATACCAAATACCAGCGACGTACAGCTTAGTACATTTCCAGAATGATTGTTTAAATCACATAATGGAGTATGGTAAAAGTAAAGAAATGGACACATTGAGCATCAGATATTTGTCGATCCAGTGGTGCGAGAATGTCACTTTCTCTGATTTATACTGGCTGGACGTTCGATGACGCACGCTTTCACTATTTTCATATATTCTTCACTTTCATGTAAACAATTCGCATTCTCTTTGCAAAACAAGGGTTTCCATACTAGCCACAGTAAATACAGTTTTCTCTTATACTTGAAAGTGGGAATTCACTCCAGGGGTGCCAACTGTAAAATCCACAGTGCGGAAGAAAATCCGTTAAAACCGGAAAAAAAGTATTAAAAATCGGAAACAACAATTTTTTTGAGAACACCTTAAGAAGGTAAAGACACCAGGCTTCTTCTGCTATAGTAAAGCATGTTCGTATTCAACAAAAAAAAGACATTCAACAACAGTTAAAAAGATCTAATATTTCAAGCATTGATTGTTTTGTTGTGCCAGGAACACAGGTGCGTTTACGTTTTCCAGTGACGTTTTGTGTTTTCTGATGTTTATTCCCACCTGAACCTTATGGAAGTCATTCTCATAGACGGCCCCTGACGTCGATGACGTCATCCTACCAAAAAGTATAAGATCTGTCAACGATTTTCGAAGAAAATTAATTAACATCTAGAGATCAATGACTAGACTATGCCTTTATGCATAAAAAACGAAATGAACACATTTTTTCTGTACTATTCCAATATATATCACGGAACTGATCCATGACGTGTACGTTTATCTTTCAAATAAACACAGTTATATCATATATGTGACACACATGGAAAAAGAAAAACAAAGAACGTTCTTTGTTTCAGCACGAGCAATAAGCGGTCGTAAATGTTAAATTACGCCAAAATACTACAGTCATAAACGGCCCGTGATACGCTTCCATGTAAACGATAGAATTCAGCAGGTTACCGACGTCGTTTATTGTCGTTAGCGTAGAGCTGATCTCGATTTTGATCTACTATCAATAGTGTCAATTTCAAGAAAAAAAATTGTTTTTCAAATTTTCAAAAGTTTTGACAAAAAAATGTTTTCCCTGAGTTCTGGACATCGAAAAACCTTTGAATCTGAAATTCAAAATAATTTTTCAAAATTAGCCTTAATGTGAAACTCCGTTTAGTTCACCTGTAAATGATAAAACAAAGTTATGATAGATAGTACAGTCAGATTACCCGAATGGTTATAAGACATCGTACTTATAAACTACAGGGTGTTGCATAACTTTTTTCCAGGGGGGTAACAACGTTTTTTTAAAGTAGGTACCTAATGAATTTTATACCAAATGAAAGCCCGTAAAAAACTGAATCTAGGACTATAGTTAATAATTCAATAGATGCAGATAGTCAATCCAAGTTATAAATGTACAAGATTGTGGTTACTTTCTTGCGAAGAAAATAAAGTATCGAGTAAATGTGGTTCAGTTACAAATGATATATCAAGCGAACCTTTTATTTGATTTGAATAGAAATGATACATCAATATCTAGTGTGACCGCCGTTGGCTTCACGTACAGCTTTTAATCGCTGAGGATACGATTTCAGTAGACTTTCGAAAAGTTCTTTTTCGTTTTCAAGTTCATGAAGAACATTTTGAAGATGTTCAAGCAAAACGACTGAAGAATTTGTCGGACCGCGTTCGCTGATCATCAGACTTTCTAATTTGTCCATTAGAATTGATCCAACATTTTCCGCCACATTCAGGTCTGAGAACTGCCTGGCCATTCTGTTCGGTCAAAGAAATCGATTCCAGAGTTTTTGAGCAATTGCTGAGCGGCATTTGCTTTGTGACACGGAGCGTTGTCATGAAGATAAACGACTTGTGCTGGATCTAATACATTTTCGGAGTTCGAAAGGAATGGAATTACTTCTTCTGTCAGAGAGAAAATATCACTACGAAAAGAAGAGGAACGAAAATAACAGCAGAAAAGAAAATGAAACAGAATGAAAGAAAATAGTGCATACTAATATGTCTAAAATTTGGATTGACTATCTGCATCTATTGAATTGATAACTATAGTCCTAGATCCAATTTTCTACGGGCTTTCATTTGGTATAAAATTCATTAGGTATCTACTTTAAAATCACGTCGTTACCCCCCTGGTTATGCAACATCCTGTATAAAGGAGGGGACCGTATAAGGTTATGAATCGGCCCACTCTGTTTTTTGACTAAAAATGGATCCATATGTAGTAAAAAAGTGCCTCTATTCCGTTTTCGCTAAAATCAAATACTTTTGTCAGGTAAAACTCGGTTAATTCCTGAACAATAGCATCTTAACAAGCACCGTTAAATAGCCACCATACGATGAGTACAACAGATTTTCCTCAACTACCTTACACTGAAATGGCAAACTAAACACAGCATTAGATGGCCCGTGAAATTCTCTACAAACTGAGCTACTCAAAAGATCTTCACTAGTGGGACCAGTCATCAAAGGCATACAAAACAAGCATTCGAGGGCAGAAAACAGCTCTAAAATACTCCTTTCGTAATTTTTTCTGTCATAACGAAAAAATATACATTTTTGAGAAATATACTGTTAGATAGCCCGTGAAATTCATAAACAAACTTGAATTAGATCTTTTTTCCGTTATTACGTTATATAATGCTAACATTGGTGATTAAGGAAAAAACGTTTCCCGACTGTCAGTCTCTTTGTTCTCTTAAAATTCAGCTTTTTCTTTAACATAGCTACTATCCGTTCCAAAAAGCAAGGCCGGTCATTATTTTTTGAATGACTCGAAAGGAACACAACATCATACAATTTTAAACATTATACAATTTTATTATTATACAACTTCAACGGACAAAATAACAAAAAATACGATCATACGGTCTGATAGTACAGTAAAAATTGAATCTAAACTACTTTTTTAAGAAAACAAATTTTGTACACGAAGGTCTTTTTTTTTACATAAAAATATAGATGAAAAGTCTACATTGTACAATATTTATAAAACTTTACAGCGTTAAATTTTTTAAACGTCATCCAAAACTTGGTTAAAATCTATTGTAAATGTGGATGCAGATGCTAGCAAAGTTGTATGAGCAATTCCAGGCGATTTGATAATTTGAATGGGTCGGCCTGGTTGATAAATCTCTAAAATGGTATCACCAGTGGCTGTTGCCGGGATAACAAGCCACCCAAGCAAAACTCCATTTTTTTACGCTGTTGTTGTAATGTCTGTCCAGGAGATCCAACTTCAATAACAAACGCAGGAAGCCATTGTTGAAACGCAACGTCAGGAACATAATTTTGTATCTGCGATGGAGCAACCCAGAAGGAATCAGGTGAATAGATAATTCGTTCTCCATTTTCATTGTAACCAAAATCGATTCCTGCATCTGGACCTCGTACTTTCCCTGGTTTACCGTTATCTAACCACCACTTGTACAGATGATAATATATGGACGAGTTAATAGCTGATGCACTATCATCACGCCGCATAATAGCGATTTTATCACTCACTTCTACTTTGCAGCCTTGATACTTTTCACTAATCTCTATCACGCTAGAATCATCCATTCTTCTAAATTCCATTTTATTTATACTATTTTTCGTTTTAACAGGAAATAGTCAAATACAAAAATGTGACAAAAAAAAGAATTATCGAAGTACGAAAAGAACTGTTCAAACTCACTCGCGCTAGCTAACTGATTGACTAGCTTTCCTCTTATAATGACAACTGAATGAGGCGTCCGTTTTGTTGCGCGGTACAAAGATCTTAAATCAGCCAGTCCGGTGTAGTAACGTGCTCTCTTCCAAGTGACTATTGAAGAGATTTTGCTTTGAGATGAGGAATAAGGATAAATACATTCTTTCAAGTAGTTACCTCTCCAGATCTCCTGTCAAAAATGATTGCTCTCAAAGCGACATTAGATTGAAGAGGCTGATTGATTAACCGTTTAAATGCGACCTCTCGTCTAGGATAGTACTTTTTGACTGTATGGCGTCGAACGATATATAACTTGATGAGATGGAAAACAGCATTAAAGCGCCTCCCAGAAGAGATCGAAACAATGAGAGGGAATTTACAGGTAAAATTCAATGAAAATATCAAAGCGCGCAATATCCCAAGACCCGCAATTGACGAATTCGCCAAAAAAGTACACGACGAACTGAGACAAGAAATTATAAAGCATCCAATGGACAAGATGTTCGATGCCACAATCGCCGACTTCCAAAAGCAACAGAAAGACAAAAAAGTAGTCTTTCGCAAGACGGACAAGTCAAAAATTTTTCATTTAGACCGATCAGAAAATTATGAGAAAAAATCAGAGGAATACATGAAGAAGACAAATGCATACGATGAGATTGCATATAATCCGATAGATCAGATGATTCAAAACACTGATCAGATGTTAAGACACCTCCTCACGAGCAAGCAGATAACACAGAAGCAATACGAACTCTTAAAACCCACACCGGAAGATTGTGAACTACCTCATCTCTATTATAATTCGAAAGATCATAAAATCGGAGAACCTCTGCATCCAATAGTGAGCGGAATGAAATCCCCTACAGCCAAAATGTCATCTTTTCTAGACCAGATCTTGAGACTCATTTTTGATCGAGAAACATCACATTATACGCTTGAGAATTCTCTGAAATTCTAAGATAAAATAGAACTATATGAAATTACAGACAAGACAAGACAATTCACGTTCGATATCACAGACCTGTACACGATGATCCCCCAATCAGAATCCGTCCAAGCCATAAGCCGCCTCCTAGCAAAAACAGGGAACCGGAAAGTTGAAGGCATCTGTATAAACACGATTGCTAAAATGCTTCGATTCATACTTGCCAACTCCTACTTTGCCTTGGACAAAAAGTACTACAAACAAATTCGAGGCGGTGCGATGGGTAGTGCCGTAATACAAGTATTGGCAGATGCTTACATGATGGAATGGGAAAAGGACCTTTTAGTTTCCCAAATAGCCGAAAATCAGTGTTATTTCCGATTTCGCGACGATATCTATCCCACCACCAAGAGAGATCTTTTTGAATTCTGTACCATTTTAGATAAGCTGAACGAAAAAGACCCAAGCATCAAACTGACATACGAGACAGGCGAACAAGTAGACTACCTCGACACCCGCATCATCAAACAAACACCTCGCAAAAAATTCCGTACCGTAGTTTTTAGAAAACCTGCCGCACAACCTTATATCCTACCTTTTGAATCCTCACATCCAATTCACATAAAGCAAAATATCCCGTATGCCTCATTACTTCGAGCTTTGCGAATCTGTTCAGACGTAGAAGATTTTAAGGAAGAGAAATTTCAGATTCGCACACGTCTACTTCTAAATGGATACCCAAGTAAATTTATAGACGCACATTTCGACCGATTGATGAAAGACGCAGGTATGAGAGACCTAGACACGACTTTTGAACCACAAACGAAATACAACGAATGCCGTAAAAAAGTACGAAACCCGGCATGGAGCATGAGAGAAAAACCAAAACAAAACATAGATCCGAAACAAGACATGCTAATCCATTTCACTTATGTACCTACAACCTCAAAGTTTGGCTCCAAATTTCATCAAATGTGGACTGAAGCCTTTGAAGACACCTCCGTTAGGGGATATACATCCAATTTTTGCCAACCGCTTATCTGAAAATCTAACGCAGATGCTGATTCGGAAAAAACCATCCAAGAATATATTTATTATGTGCACCTTTAGAACGAAGCAAATACGTAAATAATAAGTCAAAAGGTCTTTTACAAGGCAAAAATGAGCACAACAAGGCTACAAATTAAAATATGTATCCAGTATTTCGTTCAAAATCTTTTTGCAATTGAAAAACGATACTGTGCGCTCTTTCTACTCTCTTTTTAAGGATCACCTACCTATACACAAACTATACGTACAAACTGATCATACAAAATTGCCACTTTACGTACCACCAAGCAAAATGCAAACAAACGTCATACAATGGGCACTACGTCAGATCTAATCATCAAAAACATTATACATTAGACATTTTGTGTGAACAATTTCAAAACCCTCGTCTAGAAGGTTTTTGGTAAACTCACTCTCACCTTCACGGTGAGGTAAGTGAGAATCCGGGAAGTGGGATAAATCCCAATCCCTTACTCCACGTCTTACAACGTTTCAGGAGACTCTATAATGCCTACATACCCAAAGTTAACTTTTTTGAAAAACAAAGAAAAGTTTTGTTCGTTTGAACGCAGACAGTGTGGACACTTTTGTTCACTATCTACACTACCTATCTGACGCTGACTCAGTAAAATCAACTTACCATCGTCCCGCGCAGGATCAAATGGATCTATAACTGTATAAAAAAGACAGTTAGAACGTTGATGTTCCATTATTCTCGTTTCAACAGGGTACAACTACTTGCATTCTTGACTTCAACTAACAGACCGCTGTATTATACGTCGATTTCCTTACTTCATTCTTCTCGAGACTTGTGTGAGATCCTTGTACTTACTAGTCATGTTGATTGTCGTAGCGTTATATATGTGCAGAAGCACCGCAAAGTTCCCTTTTTTCTTTACACTCCCCAAGCAAAAATAACCTGTTCGGTCCAAGCGTCAAGAAAAGATCTTGTATTGCCCGGTTCATCCAGATTACTAGATTTTTACTTGATTGCAACTATTGGGTAACGACAGCAGAAATGTAGTAGTCGGGCGGCTGCTAGATTTCTTCTAGCTGAAACAATCGATTTATCGCCCGATAATCGATCGATTTAACTATTGCTAGTTACACCTGCAGACGCATCTCGTTAAAAGTCCCTAGTCCAACTAGAAATCTAGATGGTAACTAGCCATGTATCGTCCGATTATAGACGAAATGTATCTAGATTTTTCCCATAGGAGATGTTTGCTTGGGTGTCTAAACTATATGATAGCAGTTATCGATCCCAAGCAAAAATCGCCGATGGGAAAAATCTAGATACATCTCGTCTATAATCGACAACTAATAATCGTCGTACGCTTGGGTAAAATGACATTATCGATTGAGAGTCAACAATTATTTTGACTAATAAACTTTCTTTTAATTCATTCACATTACCGCCCATCGCTTTGTTAAAAATTCATCATTTGGAAATACCACGAATCCCAACAGATATTTATCCATTAAAGGCAAATTTTGATAAACAAGAAGAAATACGAATCATTCATACGTGCCAGTGACAGATCGTTGTAAGCACACGAAAGAAACTGATTTATTACCTATAAATAACGATTATTCAACAAATAATTTATTAAAAATACTGAAAAAATATCATCGACCATGTCAACAGGAACATCTGATGATCAAAATGTTGACATGTGTTTCTGTGATAATCATCGGACCAACGAGTGTTTTTTCTACGATTTTGACTGTGATCATTGTTCATATTGTTTAAATGACGGCCAATGCTTTTAGGGTGAAAGAAGAAAAAATGGAAATGCTTTTGTTTATAAATGTACTAAATGTCGAACAGGATCGATATGTTAAGATAGAACAGATCAATTTGGGTTTTCACTATAAACTTTATTGGCATTCGATTCAACCCAGAATAAAACGGCCATGTTAGCGCACGAAGAAACAATCTATATCTTCATTCTCAGTTTAATGCCATTGTTTGGTTTTGTTAGTAATTTATTATATATAAACTAAATGCTTGATCTTTAGAAATATACCAGACGTATCATTCTAAGTAAAACAATATTTAAACGATGGTCAATACTTTTGGGTGAAAGACGAAAAAATGGAAATGATTTTGTTTGTGAATGTACGAAATGCCGAACGGGATCTATTTGTCCGCATACACCAGATCAATTTGGTTTTTCATTAGAAACATAAAAAAAAAAGAAAAAACGATCAGAAACCAACAAATAAATAATATTTTTCTTTGTTTTTTGCCTAATTATCAAGTTTAGCGGTTTCGTCACATAAGTTTTCAAGAGTATCAAATACATTTGCATCATCTGCCGAAAAATAATCAAGATCGTGGAATGATTTTCTTACTGATGATGAAGAACCACTCAGTATCAAATAAAGTTGTATCATTTAGTGGACGAAATTCTTAAGAACATGTTTCAATACAATATGGTTTTGTATTATTCAATTATTCTTGTGGATGAATGAAGTTTAGACAGTTTTCATTGCTTCACAAGAATATGGCTAAGGCAACATCTCTTTGTACTACATTACCGAATCTCGACTCTTCCTCTTACATCAATATCAATTAAAGACCAAAAACATGGTGACACCTAGATCTCGGTAATCAGAACACAGTGGGCAATTAGGCAGCAATTTGGTCAAAAAGATGAAGTTTGATTTTCTCGATTTGAAGATTGGCCTATATACTTCAAGTGACGGGCTATCTAACGACAAAAGAATTTTTATCCGAAGTCCTTTACTCTCGGGAAAAAGTTAGTCGGAAAAATCCTTCTATTATTTTGTATCTTTTGGAAAAACCGCATTTTTTCGACTTAAATTTGGTGTCAGCATTAATCTGAGGCCATATTCGGAATCAACGGAAGTTAGGCTTCCAATCCG